CGAATATTACTTGTCAAGATACGTTCTGAAAAGAGAACTTGACTGTTAACAACAAAATTTTCGATTAGCTCCCTTTGACACATTTCTAAACATCATTAAGGAGACCATATAACATACCCCAACCGTCGACTCTCGAAACACCAATCTCTAGTACAGACTGGCGATGTTAAGTGATGTCCGAAGGGAGGCAACCCTAGGATATCAGAATAGGCTATGCTATGCTTTGCAAAACATATATCGATTAGATACGCCTTCGTTATTTAAAATGTTGTTATTGGCATTTAATTGCATACATGACAAAGGGAATGAGCAGTCAGGTAGAACCTAGTTAGTACTCTCCCACACATAACAACACCATTGTACAAAATAAAATACACTGCTATACAACATAGTTTTTAAATAATAATAATGCAAACACAGGGGACGCAACTTTTAAATGTTGGAATTTGGTTTATTTTTTTTATTTAATCATAATATTTGCATCGTTACTGTGCAAAACTCTTAACGTTTGTAAATCTGGATAATCTCCTCAAAACTCTCCGCAGAACGGGTAATGAAACTCCTGAAACGCGAATTGCACAGGAAATAATGTGACATAAGTGCTATTCGAAGGAGAAAATGTTCAATATTCTAAAACGCCTTCGAAAGCACCGAAGATCTAGATTTCAAATCTTAAATCTATAAAGTATAAGATTTGAAGTTTTGCAAGAATCAAATATCAAATACATTCATTACGAAATGAAGAGTATTTGATCACTGCATCCGCGCAACTGGAAAGAAATTCCATCCATTAATGTCAGCTAATTTGACCTCTTTTGGAACTGACACTCAACCCAGTTTAACTAATTCGTATTATCTGAAATAGAAGTTAAACATAATATCAACAAAGATTCTAAGACACAATAGTAAATATTTCTTATCCTCAGTGAAGTAAAACGTTTTCGTTCATACACCTTAAGACCTTTCCATCAAAGAAAATCATAAACCATGAATTTCAGTCAGCTTGACATGATTTTGACTACTTTATCACACACCGGAGTTTTAGCTTTGATCATACTGCCATTTGCTATTCATATGTAAAACCAATCCATGCAAATTCAAAAACCAAAACATGTAAATATAAAACCAATACCTAAGAATTCAACACACTATATCCAAAAGTGTTAACTCCATTCATTAACAATATGTGTTGTAGAATACTGTATTTGTGGCCTTCTGAGACTAGACATATCGTTACACTGTGTGTGCATTCAGTCATAAGTTATTCCTAATATATGCTTAATCATCCCCCTCATTTATAAACTTATCTAACACGTCTAAAAATAAACATAAAATCGTCTGATTAAAGTTTGATTAGCTGAAAGTAACAATTAAGTATTTTCCATAACAAAAACAGCGAACCAAGAATATTGGGTACAACTGGTCTAGCTGACATAGCGCCTTGGGATAAATGTTACCGACTCCGTCAAAGTTAACCATACATCATATAGTTATACACACAAAATCACGCTGTCGTGACATGAATGTTCACCTGATTGTCTTAGCTGAATCTCGAACTCACAGCTAGTGAGAACATTTTTCATGACGTTTCGATAACTACACTGTTATCTTCATCAATGTCTGACGAACATTATGCTATCTTCTAATTAAAGGGCATACTTAATTTTCCCAATCAATTATTTGATTTTTTCTGTGGGATGATCTGTAAGTGCAGATTAGTTGATCTAGAACTAAGATTGCTTTCGCCCTAACATGATGATTTTTTCTGTTCTTGAGATTCCAAGTATTTCTGGTATGCATTAGGCTGGACACCGAATCTCCTATCTCTGATAAGCTATGTGTCCCGGTTCCTATATGTGCATGTATACACAATCTCCTTTGTTCACTTAGGATGTTTTATCCTTAGGTTTGATAAGTCTTGGTAGGTTTTTATAGCTGTTGTAATACCATGACCACGGAAACCTTTAATGGTTTATGACAGGCTTTTGATGTAAAGGATGACTGCTTGTCATATTGTTCTTTTTCTTGGTTTATCGTCTCTTGGTATTTTCTTAGCTTTTTCACAAATACCTTGTTAATTCTCTGGCATAGACCAATCAGGATATCCACATGATTTCATGGTGCTATGGATATAATTTTGTTCTTTCTTCTTCTCTTTTTTTGTGACAATAGTTTTCCATCTGTTGAGCAAAGTTCGTACAATGCACAATTGCTGGTATGGGGGTCGATGCGATCGGAATGTGAGGTATTGGTACGTATGTGGTTTTCCCTATTGACAAATACTTTGATAGAACCGTCAATTTATCGTATAGTTCGCGGGATTTATATTTCGCGATTGTTCCTTTGTGAGCTAGTTTACGAAAATTAATTTCCGCGCTTTTCTGTGCATTGGTATTCATGCACACAGGCATATAACATATATTTCCTTATATTTTGATTCACTGCTAGGTTTTTTAATTTATCCTCCAGGTTGGTTGGAAGCTGTTTATGTTAGTTTCGTTGTAGGAAAAGGTTGTTATTTGAAGACAAGACGCTATCACTATATCTGACAGTAAGATTAAATGACTTTGTGACCTATTCTTATCAATAATGCCTCAAATGAAAACAAAAACAGCTCAGCCAACAGATGGGCACAGATAAACAAAGTCTTCGTGTTATCAGTGTCTATATCAACAAGGTTTGTTTGTATTTAAAAATTAATCTTGGTGTGCTGGTGACCATATTTGCATGGCACTAATTTTTCTTTTGTTCCAATTTTCAGTTATTTTCATGTTGTTTTCCTTTTCTTTTAAGTTTGGTATGAAGCTGTAACTTTATAAATTATCAATCTGTTAAACCTTAAAGACAATCTTTTGTAAATTTATCCATCTTTTGTATTGATCAATAGAACAGTGCGTCTTCTAATTTTTATTTCATAATAATATGTTATATATATAAGTGGCATAAGTCAACCATGACAGAGAGAAAACTTTGATTTCTACTGTGTATTTTGTAAACGAGTAATGATTAATAAGATTAAAGATAAGTAATTTATTATATGAGACACACATAGAATATGGAATGAGAAAGTTCATAAGAAATGAGCATTGTAAAATTACTTATTGGAGTTTTTGTTTGGTTTTGTGTCTAAAGCGATATAGTTGATAATGCCTTTCGTATCTACCCATCAGAATGGGACATGCCAGACTAATCTACATCAGCTGCTTATCTCGATATTTTCCAACAAGTAAACTTGTATGGACAGTTATTCGCCTAGCTGTATGGTAAGCATGTGATTTCAAGTTCCCTTTTGTGAATCCGTATGGGTATATGTAGCATGTCCCTGCCTTCCTGACCTTTAGTGTTTACATGTCACAGCTGATTAGTTGTTCTAGGACCTGTTCCAAAAATCACGACGAATTTTTTGCAAGACATCGTCAACTTAAATAAAACTACAAAATGGTCCGAAATCTGAAGATTAGAAGTGTTCTACAGTAGTCATAATGCTCTCATCAAGAAATGTTCTATTCCTTTGTGCGATAGGAAGCTGGATACATTTAATGCTCATTGCTTTACCGTATGGTTCCGTTCTCATTTCTCTCAATGTTTCACGTTACGTAACTTATTTAAGACTGGCCATAGTTAACGTGACGGTTGTCTTCAATATTGTAAATATCATGTAAATATTTTCTTTTGTTCTTATTTTGTTGTGTTCTCATAAAATGCTTGTTTCAATGAAGATAAAATTGATGTAAATATCGCTCTTACGCTGGTTTCACATACAAACATACTTTTTACACATTAAGTGGGAAAAAGACTTATATATATATTTTGTGTTAAAGCTATTATATATACTCATGCCCCATTCCATTAAAATATTTGCTTCTCTTTCCAGCAGGTCACGTTGCACGCAAATCCATCCTATTGTCGTTTTTGGTCTTCAGTGGAACGTTCGCCTTTGATGAAGGTTTGGGATTATGCCCATTAAAACAGTAATTACCGCTAACTGATGGCTGTCTCAGCATTAGGGTAGTACAATGTTCGCCCGTTGTCAGTATGATATGGTCGAATGGAGTGTCCTGCTTGGAACTAGAAGGTCGATTCCATTTACTAACTATAGCATGAACATTTACGAGCATATTGGAGCCTTCTACAAACACGCACTTAATCAAACACTGACCTCTCATTAATAGGGAGTTGTCCATTGTGTTTAGATGACCATAGCTTTTGAAAGGACGTTCAAAATGTATCACCAAACCCAGAGGACATCTATCATTGATCATACAGGCTGTGGCGAGCGCTTTGGACCCTTAAAGACAACAAATCGAAAAACCCTGAAGCTCGATTACAGTATCGTGAGTGATAAAAACGTGTCGTGCTTTATAAATGATACCTCAATTTGCCAGTGGCTTTCACATGTCACAGTAATTCATTTAAATCCATATGTTTCATAGTGATAACTCAACTAAATAAACACAAATGACAAATGGTTTGTTTTCACTCTCGTTTAATGCAATATACAGTGAATAATGTAACACGTACGCCAGCGGTTTCTTACGATTCGATCGTGACGGCAGATTTCCATTAATCTTATACATAAGGTGATACATATATCTGAATATTTACGTTTCATGGATCGCATGACTGCTACTGCATGTTTTAGTATATCTAAATGTGGACAAAGAGAACCTAGTAACATTAGGTTGTTAATGATAGTATTTAGCAACCTTTGCTCCAGGGAAGTCTTTTCAAATAGAAAATAAATTGTGCATTATGATTAATTTTGCTGACTGTCAATACCATGTGGTATCAACGGACATATTCCGGTCGAACATGACAACACAATAGTTAATGATCTTATAATTATTACGAGAAGATCGATTCAAAATAAAACAAAAATAAAAACCGTGCCTGATTTATTGTTATTTAAGACTGACTGTCACATGTAATACATCAAAAATCTAGGGGGAAAAAACTTGCTTCAAAATATTTTGTGCGTGAAGGACCAAACAAATAGAACGATGAACTTACGTTTGGTAGGAGTGACGTTATTGCTTATCAACTTTACTCTGGGGATCCAAGGAAAGGATACACCAAAGCAGGCTCGCAAATCAGGTTTGTACTCTTTATCACAAAAATAACATAGTTTTATAGTATATGTGTGAACCTTTTCAGCATTTCTTCTCAAATTTTAATGTTAACATATATTACGATTTCGTGTCCTGAATTAATGAAAACTTCGGGGTTTTGTCGTGTAATGTTCGTATACGGCCAGAAATATTCAGATTTTAAACAAATAAATAATATCTTGATGTTTCTTAATGAACAAAATAAACAACAACAAAAAAAGTCATGGATTCTGTATGATTTGAAATTATTTCATGTGCGATCGACCGTACTGATTCGGTTTGTATGAAATTTTGGTTGACAATTTCACGTCAGGTCTGGTAATTTTTTTCATTTTTCTGTTTTTTCTTCTAGAATAACTGTTTTCTTTCTAAAACATTGCTTACACATAAACATTTTTTAAACTTGCCTGCATAAGAAAGTAAAAACATTGATATATGTCAACTATGCTCTCAGCTGGAATGTCAGCATATGTTTACCATCCACTTTGTTTTTTTATTAGATAATCCAGAAGGATAACACTTTAAAATAGTCCTTGGATGGTTTCATTCATAAACGCCATCAGAGTACGGCAGCTGCATGAAAGTAAAAAAGAAATCACGCCGTTTTTATTATATTATTGTTTGTTATCATTTTGCATTTATGTGTGCATATATACATTTCGAGACCTTACGTTGGTATCGTAATTGGAAATGCACTTGTTGTCTTCTTTCAGTTCACCGAGATATTTTGTAGATATCTAAGTATAATTCAAAATTCTGGTCGTTCGCCGAAACTGGTGTTCTCTTATACGGATTAGAGTGGCGTTACATAACACAACGTGGATATTGTAGTGGTCGGTCATAGAGGGGAGAAAGATAAATTCGGTTGATATAGAACCGTTAACTTACACACGATGTTAGCTCAAAATTCAAAGAGGTGCCGTAAAAACATGACATACTTGTAATTAAGGAAACGTGAATGATGCACAAATCTATTCTTTTATCACAGGGAGGATATGGGGTAAGTGGTTAAGGTGCAATGTGTCCTGTGGAAAAGGTTGGCAATCTCGTGTATGTCTGAAGACCCACGCAGAATGTAACGGTCACATGACAGAAAGGAGGATTTGCAACATGAAGCCTTGTCCAGAACCAGGTAGGATGTTCCCTTGTTTGCGTGGTGCCTCCGTTAGTGATTATCTTGTTATCACTTTCTTGGATTGACCAAGTTTTTTTATTCACCCAGAAAACCTGGTCTTAATCTCCTGCTACCTTGTCAGAAATCAGCATGTATATCAATCTTTTGCTTATATTTTGCCTGATTTTCATCGAATTGTATACGATATTGTAAAGAAAGTTGCTCCTGTGTTTTTCATATTATTTCGAAATTATAAAATCTCTGAATTAAACACAAGAGAATAATCAAATAGAATGTAATTATTTAACAAAAAGATATGTACATTGTAAGAAACTGTTATAAACGATGATCGTTTTAAAAATGTTTTTATACAGAATTATTTTGATAAGATCTGACACACCACTGCAGTCAGTGGATTAAAAATATATACAAATTGTTGTTGGACGAAAGACGTCCAATCGTTCTTGTTTTAAATACAATATTATTTTGATGTTATTTCTGGAGAGTGGGGAATGTGTTTACCTGTAGAAGTGAAGCGTTCGATGCAGTTGTTTTTCTATTTCGTATTGTACCCTGATTATAAAGGAGGTATAGATACACGGATGTTACACTATATAAAATAGATATATGCTTCAACAAACATTCTAGAATTAATCTAATGAACAAAAATGACCACAAAAGCAATTAATATTCAAGAACCTGGTCGCGTGCGTTGGTTGACAACCCCTTTGCTCCAGCATGCTTCCTAAACAATGTTTCTATACACTTATATGAAGGCCTGCTTTAATAAAATGTCAACTTGCAAAAGACACCGGGTTTAACCACCAGATTTTAAATTGTGTGTTAACACAGGATAGAAATTTATCAATCAGAATATGTGCTGGAATAAATTACCTTATTTGTTTACAAGGAAATAAAACTGGTAGTATTATTAAACCATCCGAAAAAGACACACCACTGTGATAAATGAATTATGTTGTCGGGTTTGCTACTATTCCACTGGCATCTTTAAAAAAATTCCAAGACATAAAAAAATCAGAGAAAATCTTATCAGAAACAGAACTTGACAATTTTCAAAAAGAACATAACAACACTCTCTCTTTTCTAAATGGTGGAATTTATGAGCTGAACTCATTTTGTGGCTGTAAAACTGTACGTTGGGCAGATGCAGCAGTCAAGATTCACAAAAAACGACGTGGACGACGCAGGATCCATACATATATATTGCCATATCATTTTGATGTATTGTATGATGGTCTCCTTGCTGTGTCGGAAGTGAAACATCAATGGTTTCATGAGAATTTCGATAGCTTACCGGATTGTAAAACTTCTAGGAAAAGGAAACTAAGTGAATGACTTTTGATTGGGTGTGGTAGGTGCTTAAATTGCCTAGACCCCCATCCCCTTCCGTATAACTTGTGAATTTAATTGACTATAGTTTGGTTGTGGTTGGTGACTAGAATCGCCTATACCCCTAATATAGAACACTTTATAGTTCATAATTTGAAGTAGTGGAGGTTGAACCATGGCTTCAGCAGAAGATTTTACCAGCTTCAGTAACTGGTTTTCAAATGAAAGGGACAAAATGACTAACTTCAACAAGCCAGTTGGGACTGCAACAGCGCCCTCTATGCAGACTTTGTTAATGGAAACTGGTAAAACTCTAGACACTGGGGCTAGACCTTGAGCAGGGTAAATCTCAGTTACGCCTGTCTAGGAAGAGAGCGCGAAACCACAGATCTAAAAGTAAAGACAGATATAGGTCATATAGTCGTCACAGAAGTATATATATATCATCATCATCTGATTCAGATTCTGATAGCGACAGCAGCTCTGATTACCACCGAGGTAGGCATAGTTCGAAGCGGTCACGGAGGAGGAGTCCAGTACCTCCTAGAGCTCAAACATTTACTGGTACGGGTGAGAGCGATTGGGATTGTTTCCTTTATTAGCATGAGAGGCAAGATAAAAGGTACGGGTGGTACAGGAAGCAGTTGATAGACTGCCTAAGGGACAATGCATTTGAATTCGCGAGGGAGCTAAAGCATGACAGTTATGACCAGCTTTTGTAAAAAAAAAACTCTCAAAGCGGTTCAGTAAGAAGGAAGCCCCTACCTCAGGGCGAAGACAGCTACAATTCTTGGGACAGAAAGAGACTGAATCTCTTGCTGAGCTCTCGCAAAGGGAACATTTCCTTGCTATGGATGGGCTACCAGGAGCCGACAAAAGGACCATTGATCAGATAGCGGTAGAGGTATACCTGAGGGCTTGTTGGGATAAGGAAGCTGCAAATACAGCTATGAACAAGAACCCTAAATCGATTTACAAAGCTCTACAGTACGTTAAAGAAGCTGTACACAATAGGAAGCTGTTATTTGGATCTAGGCCTTCTTATGGAGCTCAAAAAATTAGCTTTGCAGATATGGATGCATGTTTTGACAGTGATGAATGTCCTCCAAAAGTTCAGCAGGTACAGAGTAAAAAACCAACAACAGAGTTGTCAGAACTGACGTCAGTGTTGAAAGACCTGACCATAAAACTAAATTCCTACAATTTGGGTACAGGAGGAATAAGGAGAGATAATCAATCTAAAAGCAGTTTGTGCTACCACCGAATTCCGTGACCAGAACTAATGTTTCTTTAGCATCACCAATGACCGGTAGACTGTTTGTTGTTCAGCCGAGCAAGCAGAATACATTTCTGATGTCTTCTGGTGTACATCTAGGAGGCAGTAGCGAGACTGTTGCAGTGACCTACATAGATGACTCTGATTGTCCTGTTGTAATAAAATCTGGACAAAGGGTAGGTCAAGTCACAGAAGCAGAGCAAGTCAATGAAGCGGAATCGGAGGAATCTAAATTAGATGCTCACTTTGGACTTAATCAGGTACATATTAAGTCTCTCAATATCCCTACACACCTACAGGAACTTTACCAACGTTCCAGCATTGGTTTAAGCGACGAGGAGTCTGAAAAGCTCAAGCAATTTCTTATCGAGTTTAGTGACATTTTCTTGACACATGATCTAGACATCGGATGTTTGAAAGGAGTGGAGAACCGGATAGATACAGGACAAGAAGCCCCTGTTAAACACAAAATGCGTCGAACACCATTCGGTTTTGAGAAAGAGGAGGAAAAACATCTAGATTAACTCCTGGATGCTGGGATCATACGGCCATCCTCTTTTGAATGAATGTCTGCCCCTGTCTTGGTAAGGAAGAAGGATGGGTCTGTACGATGGTGTGTTGATTATCGTAGTTAGAACCAGAAAACTGTGAAAGATACTAGCCCACTGATATAGCAGATTGTCTCGATACTCTTGCAGGGTCCAAATATTTCAGTACACTATATATGGCTTCGGGCTACTACCAAATACCAATTGTATAGGAAGACAAAAAGAAGGCTGCTTTTGTGACAAAACATGGCCTATTCAAACACAATAAAATGGCATTTGGGTTGTGTAATGCCACATCTACCTTTCAGCGGGCAATTCAGCTAGTCCTTAGGGGAATGCTATGGAAACCACCGACAGTGACGCGGACACCAGCCTTGACCAGTATGATGCTGATGGGAAGGATGACAGCCCTACCAGAGTGACTAGATCTGGGCGTCGAGTGAAAATAGCTTCATACATGACCGGCTATGCAATTTAGTTATATTCGCGTCCTGGGACGGTCCCTTTTACTTCGAGAACTATGGTTAAAATTATATTTGCAAGTAGCTAACTGTTCATTTATGTGGTTTCCTTTGAAACATGATAACTTTGCGTAGGCAACTTCTTTCTTTTCCATGGTACTTTATTTTGTTATTTATTGTTCGATCTAATAAAACGGGGAGGAATGTTGGGATTATCGGGCAGAGTTACTGCCCCTAATTGTGACTCGATTACTTGGAGAGGTACGTTCGTCCTCTTTTGACCAAAGCCAGCGAACGATACAGATGTGAAATCTATTAAGCAACAAACTTGTGTGTCAAATCTGAGCATTTGGCCAATGTTCCGGGTGTTCGTGAACGGTAGTTTGGTAACAGTGATCTTTGTAACCCTCATGTTTGTTTATATGTATTTTATGTAAATAAATCTGTTTGAACTCTAACAATATATGAAAAAAAGTGTGACGTCAGTCCATACCAACCGATCAATGACGTGGCACATGACTTAAATGAAAGTGGCGCTTATTCAACAGACAATTACTTGTCAAGCATTGTGATGTAATTAGTGTCAGCAGAAATGTGGGAACATGTCCTCATATTTGTTACAGATCAGGACTTGAATGCACAATTTTGAATTAACATAAGACATAATGTTAAATATCTGGTAACAAACCTGCTAACTTTTTAGGATACACAGAGATTGAACTTCTTGCAACTGCCTGTTTATCTTTGAGAAGAAAAGTCCAATCAAAACCCACTCATAAGATAATCTACCTTAGCTTGAATCATTCATTTAAGATTTATCGGCATTATGTAATCCACTGACACCATATAAATCCGTCGATACCATACAATTAACCGTACCCAATACGAACATGATACTGTAAACTCCAGATTTAAAAAACCGTTGAGGATAAAGAAAACGAATAACAGTTAACAATTAAACGAAAATTATTCATTCAACATAAACGGAAATAATTAACTGAACAATTCATAAATCCTACACGTTTTATTATGAACCATCAATACAATGAGTGGTAGAAAAATATGGAAGGGTTTTCCTCATAATTATATTCTAGTTCTTTCAATTAATATTTGATTAACTTTACTATTTTTTCAGTTTCTGTTTCAAATCAAAAATTAAGAAATTCGAAGATAAAAGACAAAAAAGAAATAGAATCACGGCGGCAAATACAATTCATTAAAAATGGATCCATTATTTTTTTTATCAGATTTTTTTTTTAAAAATGTTGTTTACTCTTCAGTGTTAGATACAACCATCAAAACCGATCATTAACTACAACCTGATTTATCCAAACTTTCGTTGTTGCAAATAACTCTATATGATTTATAATTCAAGGTTCGAAATGCATTGTTACTATTTATAGACCATTAACCTGTTGTATGACATCATGTCCTTACCTATATAAATCATACTTTACAAAAGTTTAACGCTGTAACGAACGCTTTTGCTTCTTCATACTATGGAACAATATTTGGTATAACAGGTGCCAAATTTATAATTACACGCAATACTGAGTCTCATTTTACCCTACATCGAAATGAAGTTGCCTGTCCTGTACATTTTGTGTATATCTTCATGCTACTTTATATCCTTATTCCAGATGAAGGCAAATGGTCCCAGTGGCAGCCTTATTCGCATTGTCAGAGGGTATCAGAAACGGACGAATGTATGGGTATACAACAAAGTATACGGACTTGTAATTCCCCTAGTCCACAACCCGGAGGGAAGTACTGTACTGGATGTGCCTCTCGTGTCAAACCCTGCTCGTTATGCTAGTGTTCAACACAGATAAGCAGTTCATAAAAAAAGATCACTAATCGAGCAGGATTAATTTATCGCTGTTTGTTGATCTGATTATACTCTATAAAGCAGAACGTGAATTGTGAATATTAGGTCACATAACTGTCAAAGATATCAATTTATATAACTGAATAATTACTTTATTTGTGAATCATAAAAAATCAGTTCTTTAATAAATATTCATCAACATAAATCACACAAGTAACTTGTCATGTTGCTTCCACTTTTATTTGTGATGTGTGTGAAAATTTTACTTAAAGTATTTTTCAACATTCAACCGCCTTTTGAAAGCCATGATAACGTAAGCAGAACTTCAATGTTTGTTATAATACTAAGTCCATTGATATGAGCTTGATGAAGCGCTTCTGAGAATTTTCCCCTTTTACCGAGGTTCCGACTGACTGAAATAAACACTTCGCTAGTTTCATAACTCTCGTATGAATTGAAAAACCGAATGTAAGATTATGTTGATAACAATACTTGCCTTTTTTCGTGACATTCAGGAAAATAAGATCTTATTACATTGGGATCCAGATTGGCAATATTCGCGCTCTATTCCTCTTTCATCTCAACACATTTCTTATAACACCTTGGCTTTATAACGTCACAATGAAAACCTCCAGCTAATCATAACTCCAATAGTAGTTATCCGTATGTCATAACTAAGGTTTTATGAAACGGTTATCATTGCACTGTATCAATTATACTTTCAGTAATATTAGAATTAGGCGAACAGAAAAAAATCAACTTCAAGATTTTGAGATATTTTGATGCTGGATAAGTCTACGGTTTGATAAGAATCCCTCGAGGAATGAAACAGCTTGAGGTCTGACAAATGATTTTCTAAAAATAGAAACCTTGACCTTGACCTAAAAGCACTAAAAGTCATGCTAATCGATAATATTTTGATGTTTAGGAAGTATGTGAAGTTTAATGGGAATTCCTCAAGGAATGAGACAGTTGGAGTACGGACAAACTTTCATATACGCATGAACAGACGGACGCACGGACTATAGTCTACATGCCTTTCACCTGTAGGTGGCTATAAAGATCACATGTCTGAAATCAGCTTTCATTGATACCTGTTGATATGTATTTTAGGCAAAAAGAAAATATTTTATGCGGATAAGACCATAGTATACTGTTACGGGGCGAAAAAGTATTTATACGCGTCGTTCAAAATATGTATGCCGGAAAACTGTGATTGAGGTATTTGGATTTAGAAAAGAAATGGAAAAAACAAGATTCGATGTACGGTCCAACCATACACTATCAAAACATAAATATGATACAAAGATTTTTATAATTATTATTTCTGATAGTGATGTTGATCTGGTCTTTTCATATCAGAACGTACACATTAAGTTAACAGCATGTTTCTGTTGTCTTTATCACTGTCGGATAAATTTGATTCCTTGTATCATAATCATTATAAACAGTCTGACGTTTTCGAACACTACATATACAAAACTTTTCATATTATCGGAAGAAATGATAATGTACAAACACATAAGAACAAACGATTTAATGTAGAAACAGACTAGGTATTTACATGGTAACCAATAAATCATTATCTAGCGATCACCGGTCTACATAGATTATTGTATAGTTTCTCATTTAGTCACAATACGTATTTCGTTATTAATTTTCAATTAATTACAATGTTACCATGTATCCTGGTAATTGGATTTTGCTGCTCAGCTGTGTTATAACATCATGCATTTGCGCGAAAGATACTTTGAATTCTATTTTGAATAAAGCGATAATATAAAACAGAAAATGTTAAATGCAAGTCGACAACAGCAATGTTAACACTCAAATAATGAAGACAATATTGTTTGATTGTAATGAAACATATTAAAAACATTATTTTTATAGATAATCTCGCAATCTTTTAAATTATCATCACACCTGTTCATGCACACATACGCTTTAAGGTATCGGATGTTGGGGTTTTGGAAGAATACAATGAACGCTGGCACCTGTTATTGTCGACTCTTTGTCTATATCTCCTTTTGATTTCTTACTTTGTTTGTACCAAAACGCCACATTTTCTGCTATGATCATTAAAGTAGCTAGAGCAAGCCCTATTCCGATCAAGTAGAACGCACTCTGTACGTCTATCAACGCAATAGTCTTTGCTGAGGTCACCAATTCGCCGTTACAGAAATTACGCTGGGGCCACAAACGGGATTTCCAGATGTGAAGTAATCCGCTCTCGTGTATGTGTAGTAATCTGACAAGAATGATGCAATAATAAATGTTGACTTTCAAACGTCCATACAAGGTAAAATAGGAGAAACATTCACACATTTTTTTTGTAAATATGTTCCCAGACTAAATCAAACCAATCATTTTAGAACAAAATAGGAGACGCTGTCCGTAGACAATCTAATAGAAATCATTTAAAGAACACTCACGAATTTGAACGACAATGTTTAAATGGAACAAAGATAACTGCTTTTTTTTTTTTTTTTTCAATTTGCAGATTAATGAAAATGCAATAATTAAGGATTTGATGAAAGCAAAATTTTGTTTTAATTTAGCATATTGGATCAAATGAACTTAATCTGAACGTCAGATATAAGTACAAAGCACAGCCAGTATAAGCTTAACATCATGTAGTTTTACATATTCACTTTGTTGTATGGTAAATGATTAAACCAATCTGTCGTCTACATATATGATATACGAGTCGGTTTTCAATAACTTCTACAGTAATGATACGATGCGATGATCTTAGAAGTGCGTGAAAAATTACTTACTCGTCAGAAAACATCTTTGTATACGGTGAAAAGTTTGGAAGTCCAAAAGCATATTGCAAGGGCATAAACTCGTCATCTGAGATCAGAAGGGAACACTCTTCCGCCATTTTGATTTCCATTTGTGTTTTATCTCCAATGTAGGAATATCCTCCGCCAAGCACCTTCGTGAAGTGTTCACTGGATTTTGAACTTAAAATACTATTATCTGATGCGTTGAACTCCTGCATCTTCGCCCATACCCTCATCAAATCGGGAGCACGGGTTTCCTGTGAATAAAGAAGGTTATTATTATCATATTCATAACGACCAAGCAACAACATAAATGTCTATAGGGCATACAAATGATATGAGAAAAGTGGTAACTGTTAGAAAAATGATACCAATGTCATTTAAAAGAATACGTAATAATTTTATTTTAGATCAAATACTGGTTATCGAATGCGTTTCTAAAAATTCTGTTGTTTTACAAATCGACAGAAATACTAATTCATTAAACTCAGCTATTCCTAATGTAGATAGCCGGTTTCTGCTGTCTGAATTTAGTCCCCCACCTGGAACATGGAGAATTAAAGGTTTGGGCTACGTCCGTCAATCCTTCATCACTTTGCCTTGTCTTGTTTGGACGATGCAGAAACGGTATTACATAGACAATGCATAACCAGTGTTTACGTCTTTTTGATTTCACAGCAACTAAGATTGAGAATGCCAATATTTGACCATTAATATGCGACATTTTCAAAGGATCGTGTCTTTATGGCAAATCGGAAATGTCGCTTCCGGTCAACATTGTTACAAATGACAGGTCCAGTATCTGATTGAGCGTCGTTGATCTTAATCAACACGTCTTACATATCAAATAGATACTCTAATAGCAAATCAAATATGTAGTATTATACTCGGTTTGTAGGGAATGGCACAAGGCTAACGGTAGAGCCCATAATATGCAAAACCTAGGGACGTTTGCCTTCAATCTAGATCAGACCACAAAACAAATTTGCCTTTTGTTTAATGATCAACAAAAAAGCCTTTTAAAAACGAAAGTAATTTCGAAAAACCTGTTAATTTCACTATGATAATTAAAAATCACTTTGTTACTATTACATAAAGTATTTCGAAAACCTTACCAAGAATATCACATATCATCGAACAAGAAGCTTGAACTTCTGCAACTATTCTTTCATTTACCTTTCTGTGCATATTGTTATGTTACGTTAGTATTATGACCTGGCAGTTATCGATCATTTTCGTTTTCTAATTATAATTACGTTAAAAGCCGTAATCCATGAACTTCCCCCGATGGTGCCCCAACGGTAATTTTCCTGCTGAAGCATGCCCGCAACGGTAGAAAACGGGGGCTTGTCCTTGCTGACAGTAAGAAAGGCAATAAGGTTGCCACTATAAGTTGCCATCATGATTATACAGAATAACCACCATGAACTCAGCAGGGTTCGCCCAGTCTGTGATCGCGGGAGGTGTTCTCCCCCTATAAAAAAAACTCTTTGCTAGAAATTGCAACAAGAGAGTTTACATTTGTTTCCAGATCTATCACTAAGGGGAAGCATCATTAAAGCATTTATATCTTGCCTCCATGTTCTTACAATTGCTATTGATATGCAAAGTGTTTTAAAAACTGAATACCAGACACCAAAAACTAATTTCAATATGTTAAATATTTTAGGCGCATTTTGTCATTTTCAATCTCCATTGTCGTTTTGTCCTCATAACATGTTCTCACCTTGTGTTAGGAGAGCCCCATACATATACCAAAATGCGTCCTGGTAGGTGTGTAAGCCACTTTTTCCTTCTCCCTCGTCGTCCCCAACGTAATATGGGCTGAATCGCTCGAACAGGAAGAGTAGCAGAGACACGACCGGAAGTGATATACACACACATAAAAGTAGTTCTTCACTGAATGGATCGATCAATGTTCTCCATTTTGTGATATTTGGATCCTTTTTCTTCATCAAAATAGTGGTATAGTCTATGTAAAATGAATAGGTAAAATCCATCACTTCCTCACGCTTGGCCTGCGTGGAAAGGGGAGCAGCTACTATGTCGATTTCCTGTAAGTAAGGAGATACCATGTCTGATACAACAGGACTAGAGGTTATGAAACACATAACAATAAATGACTAACCCAACACATTTTGGATACCTTTCTATGCACACACGGTTCTATCAACCTAGATTATATATAAAAATCGAACTTTTTTTCTAACTACTGTGATGCTAAAGTATTAATATGTTTAGAAATAAATACATTCTAATCTTATTATTTTTTTTCTAGTTCAGCGAAAAATTAACCTTATTTTAGAGAATATAGTCTGAAAAATCTGAAGAAAACAGAATTTGCCATACATTGTAAAACTGTTTTGAAGATCCTAATATTAGAAGCAGGCTGAACAACGTGGGGAAGGGGTCGAACCCTTTGCCGCCAAAGTTGGCATTGATACAGAACTATATCGAATGCAAGACAAGTGCATGCCATATAGGAAGACTTTCGTAATGCAACAAACCCACATATACGACATACAAGAAGAGGCACAAGAACACCTTGGTTAGTTAAGTCGAGAGTATAAACTGTTCCAGATCCGACAAAGGTCTTATTATTCTGCATAAAGTTATACCGAAGACTGCCATTTTCAGTCATTACGTGAACAATATTGTGTAGATATTTTTTTTATTTAATGTTCAAGTTCTTTCGATAGCTAGGGTCATATGTAAACGATGTCTACGGACAATAAGGTCACTGTTGTAAGCTTTTATAGTGCTGTTACAATGTATTGTTAAGACCTGGGCATTCTTACTATTACATTATACTGACAATGGGCTAAGATGTCTTCAGCTTCCCATTTAATGCCAAGCCACACTTACATCATTCGTGCGCAAGAATAATATGTCCTTTGATCAAAATGAATAAAAGTACGGAAAAATAATTGTCTGATCAATATAGCTCTGAAAATGGTCTGCCAAATTTGAAAGAGAAATCGGTTGCAAAATGCATGTACAAGTTGTAAGAGCATCGATTACCACACTACACATATAAAAGGCATCATCTCTTTAAAACAATTGTTTAATCAATATGATGCATTAGGAAACACAAATTTCGTAAATGTTTTAAGATCGATCAAGTTGAAAAAGGAATTGTGAATTGCCGTTAAACATTATTTTTTGAGTGTATAAAAGCACATCAGTTTTAAGCAGAACAGATTTTGAATGCTCAATGATAAGTTTATGCATTGTACAGCAATCCTTTCCAGTACCAGAAACTGTCATGAAGTTGGTATACCGATATTGACCTTGTAATGGTAATTGTAATTAATGCTTGGAATTCAGCTTAAATGGAATGGTGTGAGAAAGTGTTTGTTCTTCGGAGTTGTATGGGTCAGGGTTCTTATTTTATATATCGTTGTTTCGATCATTTGTATTGTTTACGAAATATCTAAATGACTACTGCTTTGCCCTTCTCAGTGATTCCCGTGCGCCATTACCCTTTTAGCCAACTGTCCCACCATGCCTGTCCATGTTCCGTTAGAATTGATAACTCCCCATTGGCCATCAGGTGGACCATCAACTTCAAATCTGAAACGATGTGTGAAAATTGTCACTTGTTAAATGGACATGGCCAATATTAACGTCAAATGACACACAAAATTTACAGCATATAGTTTTTAATGAGTGTCAATTTCATAAAGTTAAATATCACTTAATATGCGTGTAGAGAAAACAATTGGTTGAAATCAAATTAAGGTCAAGTCAAGGTCATTGAGCCAAACGTCAAGACAAATTCTAAAGTACCTAAGGTGTAGGTAATCGATTAATATATTATATTAGCAAACATAGCACAAGGTAATGATGTGACGTCCTTCCATGAACTGTTTTGTTCAAAATTTCACCCGTAAATAATTGGCTCTGAAGCATCATTTGATGAAGGAAACTGAAAAATGTATCTTCTAAAACAAAACAAAAAAAAAAAAAAATGCCAAAATATCAACTCAATCATATTCCAAACTCCAATAAAACTACTGCAAATAAGAAATTTACATGGAAACTTCTTAAAAACAACAAGGATAATAAGATCAGATGTTCCAGAGGCGTCTTTTGCTTCATCACCTACACCCGCTTTGTAAATCATGGCCAGTCCAAGTAAGTAATTTCACGTTCTCAAATGGGAACAGGGTATACAACAACGGGAACCAATAAGCAAACTAATGAGTATCAATTACTTCATATCACAAAAAGAAAAATGATGTTGTTTAATGGGATCAATATGACGGCCGTTAATCTCCCTTTCATCTCATTCATCGTACAATTAGATTTAGATAACGTCTGTATTGTACACTGATGAAGGGGGGGGGGGTCATATTTTGTATAACATGATACATTTAGAGGCAGTGTCAACATGGAAAATATTAAAAAGTGATCTTAAGTGTCATTTTAACGGCTGGGCATTTTTTCTTTGTCCTATTTCCATATGCTTTAACTATGGCTCAATTTACACATTGTCGTTTTCTTTGTGTTAATGCACGTTTTAATAATATGATCCGAAAATTGCAAAATGTAGATACAAACGTGAAATTCAGACTTGTTGCCAAATGATCCAGCAGGTCAAAACACAGTCCTGAGTAGGTGTTGTTTTCGGAGGCGATGACAAACGGCTCCCACTATAAAGAAAACAATTATCATATCATATTGAACACTGTATTAGAATCAATTTATTTAGCTCGCCAAACAGATAGAAAATAAATGAAATGCTAACATCGCAGATATGACTGCACAATTGGAGCTGTTGACACATCTTAGCATTAATCCTTCGAATTTGCCTGCGTATACTGTTATAGCAATGTCGCAACATACGGTCACTTTTGCGTCAGTACTAACAAGTTTTAAACCGATGGAACTGTTTCAAAGAATATTAAGTTTTCCCATTTCGCCTTTAAAGCACATAAGAACTGCCGACAAGATTTCAAGTTTTGTTATTTTCCATTTACAATTACTAAAATAAGATAGTAAGAAAGCAAAATTGAATATTAAACTTTCAACCTTTAAAATCTTCATTATTAAAATAATCTTTCTTTAGAGGGGAATGCACATGTATGTTAGATTTACTTACATGTGTTTTTTATAATTGAAAATTGACTTCAGAATATGTGTGTGCAAGTTTCTTAATTTTATTATCAATTATTACAAATTATGCCAAAATAAACATGAATGATTGGGATTGAATCTTGTGAAAAAAATTAAAAGTCACAATACTTGTTATGTTTATATTTCAGGTGCCTGAAAACTCCTACATACGGGAACACAACACATGCTAAAGATGGTGTCAATTTTTCTTATGGGAACGGATGCAAAAGCAACTAGAACTGTTACTAAGGAGATGACAAGTTTACCATACATCGCAAATTTTGATATCTACACCATTTCTTGTACACCTACTGAGCTGACATTTTTTTTAATCGTTGATATACAGGGGTACAGCTCTGTGTGCTTTTTATCATCTTTTGCGGACTCTCTGCAGGCTGTTTGCTCCTACTTGTTTCTTAATTGCCAGACACGTTTTAGAAAGAACAGACTCAAAACATCAATATTTATTAACTTATTCCGTAAATATTTATATAAAACATTAATTACTAGCGAAGGTCATATTACATTGTAAAAACGACGCTGATTAAACATCCCAACATATGTTTACATTGATTATGATAGCCGTTGGTATTGCCAGTACATGATATCTTGTAACTTGATCCGATCAATAAATCTCATTTTATAGTAATGGTTATGATTTCCGGAGTCATATACACGCGTGAATTGGGTAACGCAATTAATCTTCTGTATGAGCCTAAGCATTTTATTTGTGTGGTTTGGCACCTAAATATCAGTAAATGGACTGTTACGAGTAAATGTGTATATGTATACATATTAATATTCGTTGATTATTGCCATCTTACGTTCGCTAATGTTGATGACAACACATTGTGCTATCTGAAATCAATAGTGTTCCCTAAAGTGATATATAATCAAGTTAATTGCATTAGTACTGCTATTTTGATGAGGCATTCAACATATTGCAGTAAAATTTGTTTCAAGCCATCATAAAACACTCAAATATTTTCCAGAGTACTGCTGTTAAATGTGTATCACATTGTAAAATGAATTTCTAATGATAATGTTCTGTATACCAATACGATAAAATTTGACAGTTTTAACATTAGCGCCACATCACAACAACTGTCATCCGAGTCAATTCGCTCGATTTGCCTTCATTAAATGGGGCTTTTGAAAAAAAAGCAGACCAAGAAAACGTAATAACGTTAGAAATACATCCTTTACCAAAACTTTACTAATCGAAAATCAGAAAAAAATGCGATAGTACCGAAAGTAAAAATTACAATTAAGACGTTTGATATTCCTCTTAGTGTGAAAGCAACTAGACCCCATGTCAAAGATTTTACCAAGATTTCCAATGGGCCTGTATCTCTTCCTTGTCCAGTCTTGAAAACACATTCATTTGTCATCCTATCAAACAAATAGCATGGGCAACGGCCTGTTGGTTCTTGGGAGGAAGTTAGATTTTTTTCCACATTTCACCTTAGTAATACATTATAAGAGCTTGATTCAGGTCTAATAATATGATCCTTTACCTCTGTGGTATTTCGAAAAAGTCGGTAAAAATGACATTGTTAAAGGTCATTCATTACAAAAACAAACAGTAAAACTTTATAAATCTTTACCACAGCTTGCTACATTTCAAATATCTGTACCATGATAATTTGGTGATTGAAAGGAAGTCGTTTGTTCCTTGTAAATCATTTGACCCCCGTGACCTGGGAAATCTATTAACGTCACCTTTTCAAAAACAACCTCCATTTCGCCATATAACAGGCTCAATATTAGTACTTAGTCCTTTTATATAAGCCCTTCGGGTTGGTGAGTAAAATGTCTTAACCTTAAAAATATGATATATACTTCAATCTGCAGTTAATAAAATTGAATAAAGTAATGTAATAATTGTCTTTGAGAATAGGTTGTACATCGTTTACAGATTTCATATCCAATTGCAATTTGTTACTAATAAATGACAATTCACAATTAATTCGTATCTCGCAACGTACCTCTAAAGTAGACACGGAAAACTTGCGACGATTGAATCCAAACCTCGTATTAGGAAATATCTCCGCATAAAAGGCAGTTTGTCCCATAGTGTCGACGTACCCAACGTGACTCCAGCCACGCCCTCCCAATGTAAACATAAGAGTCTGAACGGGAGACCAGTGACACCTTTGCAACTCCTGTCATAAATGATTAAAGAACACATATCAAATAGTAATAAAAAAAAATATCCAAGCAATATCAGCGAATTTAGGTATATTGCAGGTAGGACGATCGAGTCTACCTTCTCTCTGCTATCAAAACTACTTTATTTTTCCAATTCCTCATTTGAAACTTCCTTACTTTTGGCCTTTAGTAGATTGTTTGCTTCTGTGAACAATGCTTTGGATTCTGTCCACTGGCCGAGACAAATGGTAATTACTACCCTATGCTTAACTGTCAGCATGGTGTTACTTTACCCGTTGTCATTATAATGTGACTGTATAGGAGGACTAGTTATATTTATTTGGCAGCATACTCAAACGAAGTAACAGTATGAAGTTTACTTTACATTAACATTTTTAAATCACTGTATATGTTTACTGTGTACCGTGCCACTATTCCAAGTGATATTTTAATCAGACCTTACTACTATAATATATATCAATGTGTCGAAAATGAGTAACACACCACTCAACTAGAATTTAATGGCCTCATTTTTTCAATCAGGAATCGATTTGAATTGGAGTCATGATCATCACGTAATACTTTTCATCTTGTGAAGCTTGCATTTGAGTTCTAAAAGACTTCGACTAGCACTGCTTGTGACAATGAAATGATATAAATAAAATGACTGTAAAAACCGTCTTTTTCAAGTTCAATGTAAAAATTACCATTGTTAAATTCATTTGATTTCCTTACGTGTAATTTAGACACCTGTTAAGTGAAAGCTCTTTAGTAAATGCAATTGCATGATGAAATGCATATAAAGTATTTACCAATTAATAAAGGGCATTCGAAGCCAGTAATGAAGTACACTAAGATCAGTGACATATAACAAAAACGCATGGCCAAAAACTTATATAAATTCATCATAAAGTCACACTACTGACCAATATCATAACTGGTAAGTTCTGAAAGTCTACACACTGCATCATCATTACATCATCAAACCCACTACTGACCATTGTTATAACTGGGAAGCTCTAAAACTCCATAAATACAATTTAATTAGAATCCATTGTAATCATATACATGCATATACGAACGGTAAAAGGTTATTAATTAGTTTTCTTAATATGTTGATCTCTGCCTCATTCTTATCAATATGAAATAAGAAAAGTCATCCAGCATAAGTCCTGACAACCACTGGAAAGTAACACAAAGTACTGATGGACTGCTAAGGAGAAATTTACAAGGCAAAATATTTTTTGTTCGATCTTCGGAACATATCACAACGGAAATTGTAATATTATGGCAGTTAAAATACATTAAGATTGCTAAATTTTTAAACTGAATTACTCTGTCTATATGTAAGACTAATGCCCGGTACTTATGTGTGGCTTATTGGTTGGTTCGGGGTTTACATCACTTTAATAGCGACTTTATATGGTAGATCAAAGGGAATGGCCCGGTACTTTGTTTGCATTTATAATGAAAGTTCACTTACCGACTGCAAAAAGTCGATGATTAAGTTATTCATCTCTGATTTATTCGTTGTTGTCATAGTAGCATTTGAGCCGATGTTGAAAAGAGCTTTTCGGACAAGTTGGAGTACATCTGTCGTCTGTAAAAGACACAATGGTATTAAAATTAGAGACAAAGGATGTGATTTTGTACGTTATTGATATACATTTTCGTCGAAGCCTTTGAATCTTGCTAGCATGTATATATGAGAGTAAACAACTAGAGTAGTTAAATTTGGACACATTTAGTTCTAGGTCTACCAGGTTAAACATTGACTTGCTCGTGTTTTTCTAATGCTTTGAAGCAACATTCTACAACACTATTTCTCGATAGGAGTTTTGTGGTGGTGTACTTTACCCCATTATTATTATTGCCAACGAAGAACGTTGGCAAACGAAGAACGGCAACATTGTCGATATTCTCTGTATATTTTTGTATCTTGTCCATATTGGGGTCGTCCTTCAGAAGAAAAACCATCCACAGAGAACGTAGACTTAGTGACGATTTTCTTTTGTTGTTCGCAACGTATTGACCTGCCTGTATAATCAAAATATGTAATGCATGGTAATCCGCCTTTGTTTAATCCAGGCAACTCACAGGTCGCCTGTCTACCGAATAGTCTGACGCCTGATATTTGGACTAGGGGAAAACTTCCAGAATGACGTACATTTACAGATCGTTTAAACAGGTCCGCATGCAATTTATTCAATAAAAATCAAAATATAGAATCAAAGAGCAGAACAAATTGTAGACGTGTGCCATAATATCTTGGTAATGTATATAGCATGAGCAGAGTTAAGGTTGCATTACCATGTTCTCTACCTCAGTAGTTACATTTCATCTACTTTGCCATACATTTTGAGCGCAGGAATTGTACATGATATCCCCCATTTTTTGACTAGTAAGAGTAGACCACATTTATAATATATTTTCCCCTCTTTTAGCGAACATTTTCTTAGGTGTGAAAAAATCATAAACAATTGGATGAGTAGGAAGGGTACTTTATAGTAAAGTAGCAAATAGTACCGGTCATCAGAGGCGGAGAAGAAGTCTCGTATAATCTCGAAACTTTAAATGGAAATTAATTGTTTTACATATTAAACACGTTGTTAATCAAGTAACTCACTAGTCTTTAAATAACCATAGCTGCTAAATTTATTAAACCGTATTCAGTCTTCGTCGCTCTCTCTCATGTTCTAGCCCCAAGCACAAAATGATGAATGAATTTAAAAGCTCGTGTTGTTGATAACTTATATCGTACATTATGATAATAACAGGGGCTTTAGACCAGTCACAGGAATACCTCAAGTGATCTCGGTGGCTTTTTGAAGAATTCTTCATTTCGGAATAGCGATTTTTTTTTTGTACTAGTTGGGTGTATATTGTAAACCCCGTGATACCCTTATTGGAAAAAGGGAGATATCACCTTAGATTGTGATACATTGACATTATTACATTATCATTATTTAATGAACTGCTGTTTGGATCATCGCAATTTCTAAAATAATGATCATGTAACGCTTCTTTTATTGGATAATTTTCATTGTCTAATTCCCGATAATCTCTCATGATTTCTGAAGCTAGACCAAAGGTGACGGTCATCTTTCCCGTTGAGATTCATGATATGATATTCAGTATATACATAAAGACAAGTATTCCTTTCCCTAATTTGATACTACGACATATATATTAGTGTTGATAGTATTTTAGCTTGGATTTACATCGTCGTTAACTTATTGTCCAAGAAGGTTTGTTTTACTAAGTGTCACTAATAGGGGATAATGTCATCATACAGTGAAATATGATGCCCTATATCTTAGTGAATCTCAAATCAATACAGTTTGAGCAGTAACGCACTTCCAACGGGTATATGTCAGTCATTGATCAATAGCTTTCCCTTGATGAGAAATAAAACCTCATAACCGTCATTGCCGCACATAGACATTCAGTATTTATATAAATATAAATGTGATATTGGCGTTAATAATTTTTACAAATGGTACAAACGCAAGTTGCAACCGTAATTAGTTAACAGCCTGTCTTGAGGATTATTACAGGTAGGCAAACTAACGGGTAATTATGTTAACCGTGGCCCTGGTGTTCATTATTCTGTTCACATAACAGTGTTTTCCGAGTTGTACAATGTGGTGATACTGTTCGGAGGCTAACACGGAAATTGCAGCCCTTCACAAACGCACGCTCTCACCTCGCATACATTGATCATAGCTGACTAGTATGAAACAAGAACCTCTTCAATAAATTTCAAGTTGAATATGTGATGAAATGTCGGTAGTTGTTTCCTTGTCATTATAATAATTATTTTTTAGATAAAACAAATCTGTCGAAATTGTATAGTACGGCAAAATCAGTATATCAAATACTTACAGTGAACAAGACTTTTTCGACACATTTTTGATAACCAATCACGGTTATGTTAATTTTGTCGTCACCGTTTGGTCCGTCCAGTGTTTGCAGCAATCGATGGATTTGATCTACATCCATGTCGCTCACCTCGTACGTTATCACAAAACGACCCTCGAATGATAATATCTGGATGATTCTATCGACGTATAAATCTAGTAAATAAAATAAATTTAATATCAACGTTTGTTCTTCATTTACAAAAAACAAACCATTCAAAACAGGACAAATTATTCGATGCATTCAAGATACTACATCTACAATTTACTTATGAAATATATCTTTTTATCGGTTGATATAGATGTGAAGATCTCATTAAGAGATGTTTTGCTATATTTAGCTGTCCTTTATGTTGTAAACATTCAAGATTTCTCAAGAACGTTCAGCTTATGAAGTTGAACATTGAAAGGTATTTAAAGATAAATGTTTATCTAACAAAATTCAAACAGATCATTGGTTATATATCATATATCTTATCAAGATACGATCATGGAAACATACCGATTCCTTTATCATACAGGATAATTTGATCGGACCACTTGAGGTGATGAAGCACAGATACAATATTTGAATCCAAGTATGACAGGCTGTGGTTATTATTGATTGTCGACATGTGTTCTTCACTAGGGAATGGGGGTAAACATTCTCCTTGTTGCTTTGATGTTACTGGAGTTAAAAATAAAGACTGGCAGTTCTCGTTAATATCCGCATTGGCGGCTGATATTGTATTGACACTACCTAAGGCTATAACCGGAACATCGCCTTTAATAAGTTCGTTTGACAAACCACCGAGGTATTGCAGGTCGTCCGCAAGTAAAATTGCATCCATGCCGCTACTTCGGAATTCCATTACTAGAAAACAAACAAAATAATAGTGAAAAGCAGCGGAATCCGTTTACCGCAGGAAGGCCATTTAAGGGTGCCATCAGTTGCTTATTAGAAAATCAATAAACAATTCTAAAGACTTTATGTCTAAAATATCCAATGAACAGCACGGGGATGTTCTTGAACGTAATTTAACAAGGGCGCTTTAAGAAATGTATACATATGTATCTTATACATCCAGCAGTATTTTTCACACTTGATTATGTTTTCGTCTATAAGTTGACAAAACATTTAAGTTATGTTGTGTTATACTCACCTGTTCTTAGGAGATGATATATATCTCTGCTGTCCAGATATGACCAATGCAGCCTGATTTCCAGATGCTCGTCCCAGACTGAGGTAGATGTCAGCGTTTGGTTTACTTTATACCCGTTCTTGAGGCATCCGTCAGCTATCACACCTAAATTTAAATGATTTTGCATTTAATATTATATATTGTTTACTCTTTGACAGGTATTTGAAACATGTCATATTACCGATAGCAATGAAAACTAGTAAATGGATACCCTGAGCTATACTAACGGAAAAGAGAAACTGTACATCACTAAAATTATCTCGGAAACTACCGAACGTTTCTCAATAAAATTTTATGGGCATATTTATCGTGTCATACTACACGCTATCACGTGATTAGGTCACCTACCGCACGTGCATTTTGCGACCTACCCGGGCAATATGATCAACACCTAATTGGAAGGCAGTACACGTGTCAGTGAATACCTATCGTTATTTTTGTGTCAATATCCCTCTGTGGGTACCATATGAACCAAAAAACATCCTAATTTCAAGAAAAAGCGATTTCTGATAATGCCACGGTGGACGGGAAATGAGCGTTTGCGGATAATCGGCATGCTTGAGGCAGGAATGACCCAAAATGACATCGCACAGCGTTCCAATGCCCATAGAAATACCATACAGTCTTTAGCAAGACGTTATCGGCAATATGGAATCACTCGGGATAGACCGCGTTCAGGACGTCCGCGTGTGACGTCACATCAACAGGACAATTACATACGGTTAACGCATCTAAGGAATCGTTTCCAAACGGCCAGTTTAACGTCTAGGAACATTCCTGGACTAAGAAATATCCACCCAAGAACCGTCCGTAACCGATTGAGAGAACACGGAATCCGGCCACGACGCCCCGCCATACGTCCTGTATTGCAGCAACGTCATCGCCAAGCAAGATTAGCGTGGTGCCGTAGGCATATCCGATACACCCAACGTGAATGGACGGGTATTTTATTCACGGACGAGTCGAGATTTCACTTAGACAGCAGTGACGGCTGTAACAGAGTGTATCGCCGTGTTGGAGAACGATTCCAAGATGCCTGTGTCGTAGAACGACGTTCTTTTGGTAGTGGCAGTGTTATGGTCTGGGGAGGGATCACTACCCATCGCAGAACTCCTCTTGTGTTAGTCCAAGGTAATTTGACCGGGATTCAATACAGAGATGCTATCATTCGACAACATGTTGTGCCCTTCATACGTGCCCAACAACGTCAAGTGACGTTACAGGAAGACAATGCCATCCGCATGTTGCTCGTGTTGTTACCGACTACTTAAACCGACAGAACATCAATGTTCTTCCATGGCCAGCCGTGTCGCCAGATTTGGCACCAATCGAGCATGTGTGGGACGAGATGGAACGTCGTCCACGTCAGCTGCCTAATCAGCCAATGACGTTAAATCAACTCGGCCAAGACTTGATCAGAGTGTGGAACAATATTCCCAAGCACGTCTTCGGCACATTAGTTCGCTCCATGAGACGTCGTTGCCAAGCTTGCATTGACGCAAACGGTGGACACACTCGATATTGACATTGAGAACTCGGTTTTGACCCCATAAGGATTTGAACCCCTGTGAAATGAATTGTTACTCAAATCAATTTGAAAATCCATATTGATTTTGTTGTAATGAAATCAATAAAGCAACATGCACACTTTTAACCTAATATTATAAGAATTATAGATTTTATAAACGTTTCTCCGGTGCACAGTTTCTTTTTTCCGTTAGTATATTTCAGTGGCATTTTGATGGGAACGTTTTTCATTTTGATACAGTTATATACAGTTCTGTTTGGGATGGGACATGAGTTTATTGTACTCCCTGCGATGCTATTGTTGGTAGAAGCGACATGATTACATATATTAATATAACATCATCCCGGTGTCAATTTCTTTGGGATTCCACTATCAAGTGACCTTTGATGAAACGTTATCCATTGAAACCATCTCCATTATAACCTTTTGAAAGGACGTGGAAACCTGACATCAGCGTTGAGATAAAATCACGTACCATATTCTATATCTTATGTCGATAATAAGTATTCCCAATTTTTTTCAAGTGAATAACTATGACCCGTTTTTCAAGGTGGCAAGATTCCAATATAAAGAAATACTGCAAACGAATTCTCTTTAATATCGGAAAGGCCTATGATCATGATATTAGACCAGGCGTATGCTAGGACTATATGTGTAAGCAAATGACCTTGACTTACTTCTAAGGTCATAAGGTAATAATGTTAAAAAGGCTTCCAGTAGGCTGTCTTTTTTATTATCCTCAAACGACGTTCTATACAGACATAATTATTAAAACATAAGTGTTTTCTAACTATTTATCAATTAGTCAAACCACAAGTGAATGGTTTGGCGATTCATGTTAATAGCTTAATGAATAATTTCTATTTGAATGTTACTGAACCAATTTAATATTGATTTCATTACTTTAAGAGTTTGTTTGAGTATATATACTACCAATTTAGTTACTCATGCATTGTATAATTAGTAGTATTCTTTGGAGACATAAATTTGCTCTATTGTCAGTAATTAAGGAATAATGAATCAAATCCCCCGCAACATTTTTTTCTGAATTAATAATGTATACAATGAATATGGTATGTGCGAACCATCCGTGACTTAGCACAAATCGGAGCAACCGCAACAACTTTGCCGTGATGTGGTTTGGTAGATACATTGTTACCTTGTCTATGTCTGGGTAATGGTCTGCAATACAAGGTTGCTTTGCAACATAACCTGAAGAAACTTATAAACTTCTGCCTAAGTGGTAACATCGAAGACCTAATCTAAATTAATTTATAACAAAACAAACTGGCCTGTCAGGATGCTTGGCGCATGCATTGAAGGCACACTTTGCAATTAGAGCAATTTTACTGATGTCTTTAAGGTGGTGGGGAAGGGGGCTAGGTGCTCAAAAATGACAATTCGCTGGAAGACATGTATCAACTAATGATCGGGCCGCTCAAAGACTCTTCCATTGTCTCAATTGCTCCATTGAATGGTACGAACCTAACTAAGAATATGCACATATTCTATATCTTGTTTAATCTAACCACAAAATCGATATAATTAGAGCACACTTTAAGCATAGACAAGCTAGGTACATCAGAGGAATAGGCACCTCATGCTTCAACGAAAAGTCACTCTGTAAATCCTGGTTAATTCAAGAAAGTAATGCTAGGTTTCAAACGGTAAAATTTAGGAGGATCAAGCCACCAGCTATAGCAAGATCATGTGACGTCATGTTGCACAGGAGTATAAAATATTCTGTAATTAGGTCAATATAATAGCTATAAAAGTTCCATCTTCATTTGTGTCTTTATGATAAGGAAATCAAGAGTATTACGTTGATCACATAACTTGGAGAAAACAAAACTGCCCCTGACAGTTGCATTGTTGTAAAAATTCGAGTAAGAGAGGAATTATTTTGAAGAGTTCGACGTGTTCAGAGACACATGTATGTACGTTTGACGTTGTCAATAATTTATTTGTAAATGGCAAGACAACCTCAATTAATTTCTGAGCGAAAGAGGACTAGGAAAAGATATTTATGAGCTCGCCGTTAACTCAAGCCTCGTATAGAAACAAAGACAAATCAATCAATAGTGGGCCATAGTTTGATCCCATGGGTATGCCAGTCCTGTACTGGAATATATTTCAACTGTTCTAAACAAAGATATTGTCAGTTAGAGCATTTTGCGTGATTTCATCCACGGTCTATCTTGTCTTGGTTTAATTTTGTTACTGCGCTCAAGTATAATTCGAGGTGGTGTACTTGATTTGCTCTAACTACAGAATGAAGGCGGTTCTTAAGTTGGGACTGTATATGGTTTGAGTTCAGGTTGAAAAAATTGAAATGTTCACATTGGTAATGGAGACGTTGTTCCAGCGTCTTCGAAGTATTTTCAATTCTTTTGACTCTACGTACTACAAAGTCTTTTTGTCCGGCTTGACGTCTTCGATTGTACATTTCATTGTGGTAGCACTATAAAGTCGTCATAGGTTCCGCAGTTTCAGGAGCACGTACTAAATCACACGTACTCAACACATATATTTACGTGGCATACCTTTGGAGGCCTTCTTACGATGTCCCTAGCTGTTGATGAATCAAGCTATGTTAAATCATACCTAAGGCATTTAAATGTTATATGATGCCCCATTTCTTGTATTTGATGCTTAAGTCAAAATACTTTTCGGGAAAATTGCTATTAAATCTGCAATGATATATAATAGTTTACTACGGACAGACGGTAAACGCCATATCTCATTACGTCCCGTCAAAATATATTAGGTGCGTATAATAATGAAACGTACTATTCTATTGACATGACGTGATGTGTTCCATCGTCAAAACAAGCCAGTCTATTCGAGATAATTGTTTGCTTGTACAGGAATCCTAAAGATCTCAGGATATAGTATACTAGTGAAACAGAAAGGACGGTAGTGTTAAATCCATCCTGGTACTTTATTCACCGTCTTCTAGAGGTATTTATCAACAATGGAAGATGGGATTTGCATCTCGGTTACAGGAGAATACTCTCTTATTTGGAGATTTGGTATGTATAGGCTATGTTACATACATGTCTTAATAATGCATTACAGCTGTGATGAAAAGTTATCTTAGTGGGATGTTTTATCGTATATCATATGTGAAAAACGAAAACGAAAGTCAGTCGGGCTAGTGCGGGTCGACAACCGTCAATTAAAATAGAGCAATATCCCGTGGTATTCCATTAGGGGTAGAGTGCACAAACCAGAAGTTGTACAAGTCATCGAGGCGCCCATAGCGGAAACGAGATTGTTAATCACTAAACAAACATACTGCTGTAGAAACAACCTACTTAGCATAACTAGATTTCAGTATCAGTGTTCTTGTGACTATTTTATCGTTACCGTTGTCAGTTGAAATCCGACATATCGCTGATAGATGTTAACAAAACATACGTACATATGTATAATCAATAGCAATCAATTTCGTACATTAACAATAGTGTTCAGATTACCATCGGCAATCGATTGTGTTCTTGATTACGTTTGCATTGGAGTGCTGTGGCCGTGGTCTGAAAATTAATTTCATATGATTAAGCATTTTGGCTTTTATTGACAAGACACTAAACAATTGCCCAGTCAATTTTCTGTTCAGAGCAAAAGATTCAATATCTTGTAATTAATCCCCTATGAAAAAATAGATAATACATCAAATTAATACACTTTTCATGAATAAGGTGTAAGATATCTTGCAAGTTATAGTCGGAACAATCAATCATGATATGCCTGGTTTATCCGATAGTGCGGAGGTGATGCCAATTTTATAGTGCTACCACACCGAATTATACCTCCGAAGGCCTGTTGTTCAATGTGTTATGGAACATGCATTTAACATGCCATAGTTACTGTAGGGATCTGCTACATCCGTTAAATACATTACATCTAACCCGAAACAATCATGTATCCATAATATATCCATCAGACCGCAAAACTGTCCTTCATACCCGAAAACAGCGATTGCGAAAAGCGGGCAAACATTATTTGCGGTAGTCTCTTCCATAGTATCTAAACAGGAGGATCATATGACACTTATGGACTTTTATGGATACATAACCTTGGCTATTGCTAAATTACCCTTCTCCACACCCATCAAAAGATGCATAAATATACTTTCAAGTACCCTACAGATACTGCACATAAAAAACCACACAAATGCTTATGGTAATTTCTATTGATTCCATTTTAGCTTGTTTGCCTTCGTTCGATTTCCATAAACAAACACCATCGTTCTCGAGGGACCGGAAACAAATTAATAAGTAACTATCTAACAGTAGTAAAGTGTAAAGGGTTTAAAACAACAAGGCAATGTATGAAATGTGTTATTAGACTGATGAATTCCGAGGCATTGTCCTGAAACATGATTTGTGTACTGTAAAACAAACGATATGGTATATGATATCAGGTTATTGTTTAAACAGAATGCCTGAACAACATCAGTATTGCGAAACCGAATGCTTGCTTTAAAATCGAAAACAATATGCTATATTTGTATACAAAATATATTGCTAAAACGGAGTACGAACTTTGCTTCTGCATACCTTCTCCCTCACTGTCAAACAAAAAATTCCAATTTCCTTTTTTTGAAATGTGTCAGTATTAGTGTCTCATGCATATTGCTGAAGAGGAACAACACAATGGAGTAGAATAGTCCTGTACTTCCGAATATCGACAAAACCCTATTATACACTCACTATTCGTAAATGCCACACAAATAAAGAACATCATACTGTTAAAATATACTTTGGCTGTATATCGGATGTCAACTAATGTTCAATATCTGCCACCATTATAAAGTAGACTCGAGACTTACAAGGAATAGATCGTTGTTTTGTTTCAATTGGTACCACGTATCATATGATCTCTAAATCTGGCACATATTGGGGATCATTGAGTCTAAAAAAAAAAAAAAACCCGTTCTCCTCTACCCAACAGGACGTGTTGAAATAAAACATTTACTGTTAAAAAATGCTAGGCACTGGGTTGAAATAAACCCAAGTACTTGCCACTACCGATCTGGGTGGACTATTGACACAAGAGTTTGTCAAATGCCGAAAAGTATATAAACTCTGCACTGATCTACACAAACAAAAAGAACAATTCTGTACTTAATGATAATGGTGCATCGTCAGCTTTAAAGGTTGGTTTCCTAGCCTGGAGCAAAATGTGTGGGAATGAAGTGGAATGCAAGTTTAATGAGGTGATATCTTAATGAATTACCACTTCATCCATTGATTTTGCGATTAATGAGCAAGATATAGCTGTAAACAGAACATAAATATATCAAAGAAAAAAATTCAATTGATAAGGCATTTCCATTTCATGGTTGTGATATTATATGCGTGATGTTAACTTTTATATCAGTTTTTTTTTTCTTTGTTTTTTTTCTGGGGGTGGGGAGGGGGGGTTCTTGTCAGTCTAGCGTCTAATCGTAGATCTGACCACTGTAAAAACCTTGGTTCACGACAATAAGCAATAAACACACCAAACGTAACCATGTATAGGCTAAAAACTTAATAAGAATAACCATGTCTATTTTGTCCTAATTGTATCTTGCATTGTAATGACATTAACATAAGATACACTGGACAAGGTAACCTTATCTAAAAGCCATAGAACACTGACCATACGCTGAAAGTTATTAGCATGCATTTTGATTATAATTTTTGGCTAGTTAAAAAATACTGGTAAAAAGTTATCATAGCCGAAGAATCTTTTTAATATCACCATTGATGATATAACACATGATGACCGATTTGTGAGACTTGTTCTTGTCAAAATATCGACATATGCAGATTTTTCTGTAATAGGTTATCTCTGCTTTTCTCAAATTTGGTATTTTAGAGCGAATATCATGAGCAAGTAACAAGACATGTTAGAATATGTTCTTTGTTTGTTCTTTCTAAAATGTAATTAAATGAAAATGTTGTATTTTCCTGTTTTATGTCAAATTTATGTTACTAGTATGACAATATGAATTTTCACTTGTTCTTTCCATCCGTGAAAATATAAATATTCTGTCATTATCGTGAAAGATCATATTAAACGTGAGTTCATTATATACCTTCAATGTACAATAAACCTGCCCTTCATTCATGAAAAACAAGACATTTGAACGATTATCATTATTATTCAGTATTCCAAAATTTACTTACCAATTTCCAATGTAGTCGTTTGCTGTTTAGATAAGCACAGTTCCATACACAGGATAATAACTCCTAAAATTTGTTTGATCGTTAATAGATTTACATCCACCATGGTATCTCCGTATAAATCCCAGTTTTGCTTCAATATGCTGAAAATGATGAATAACTACGTACTTCTCTAACATTGCCGTATATCACAAAAAAAGTAAAGTACCGGACCATTATGGTCGCCGTTGCCGATATGTCCAATAAGACAAAAATATATTTTTTCAGAAAGCAATGTAGCAAATCGTTCACTAGTTCCCGGCTGCAGAAGATCCAGCTATAAAGCAGAAAAAACAAACTCTCCACTATAATTACTAAAACAAATAACTTTACCGAATTTGCAAATTCAGAGCTTGATTAATTTGCAAGTTATTCCGTAAAATAAAAGCCATCGTGCTTTTTGCCACACAACCAACAATGAGAATTGTATGCTCATTCATAAGCAGATAGGTGACATCATTAACTTAAGCACAGGGTATTGACTGCCTTCTGTAATACCATAGTGCAAAGGTAAATCGCTCAATAAACAGGCATTGCCATCGGAAATTGATCAGTGGAAATGATATTAACTGATCCGACGACCTGTTGATAACAGCATGTATGTTTCGGAGGTTTGATTAGATGTTATTCCGGCGTGTATTTGGATAATAAGTGTTCCTTTTGAATTCAACAAGTTACACTCCGACGACTGTCGCATATCGATTCTGATTACTGTGGCCTGACACGACAACCAATCGTGTGTGGTTTTAACGTGATGTACTCGCCATAAGTTAAGGACAATATATTTTGTAATGTGTGTTGTTCATACAGACTTAAAACACTGTCAGATTACCTTCAATAAGTGTTGCTCCAAACATGTCAAAAGCAATTATATTATTAGATCCCCAACTTTCTGGTATCCACATATTTTCTCCAAAGGAAACAAGTGATTGGAAGTCCAAGTATATCTGTGGAATCAAGTGTTTTCCAACGGAAAAGGAGAGTTTTCTTTATACCTATAGAGACACACATTTACAAGCGTACTTGAAATTCGAGACTTAAACAGTATATGCGATATAAGCCCAGGAGGAAGTTCATCAATTCTTCCAACCTGAAAGTTGTTCCGATTTGTGTGAAAGTGTCATTACCAGTCGGTAACCTTTTTCACCTTCCGTGTTAACGAATATTCATTTGCAAAAATGAACATTAAACCTGATTTCAAGTGTGCTCTTGCCTTGTTTAATTGAAACATTATGTTGTCCAACTAGTTCTTTCGCAATATATGTTTCAAACCATTACTTTCTATATTTGTTAAGTTTATTTGAATAATTTGTAACCTGTATTATTGTTAAATTTCTACAAGAATCCTATTTCATAGGGCGAAATATATTTTAACCAATAAGCATGTTGTAAGCTCTCAATTCGTTCCACAGTGAGGGCTATTCAAGTCGGACTACTCATACAGTTTATTAGTTTTGTTCGGGTTTCAACTTGCTTCTGAAATTGCTTAACGGGCAACATATCGTGCAGTATGCAACAGAAAATATAGCTACATTTTTTTAAGTATTAGAAAATACATTTCAAACACCAGCGTCCCACAAGATGCAATAGATGCCTAATTTAACATCTATACGGTCTTCAGTTTCGAAATAGAACATATAAACTTTGTACTAGACAAACAAGTTCATACAGTGATATTCGGCGGTACGATTTGGCCGCTCAGTAACATTGGGGTTATTTTCAAAATCTCAAAGCAAAAAGAAACGAAAAAAAAAACTGAGTGAATATGAAAATTGCTTCAGTTTTTATATACTCTATATTTGTGCCATATTGTTAATACCTATTTGGCAGTTGATATGGCAATAGAGTGTAGGCGCTTGACCGTTATGACTGCATTTCCATCAAAAGTCCAACAATGAATGTATCAGAAAGTGAAATTTAAATCGGTTATACTTACACCGTACTGTATAATGGACATGTTATACTACTTGGGTAAATATTCTGGATATACAGTTAGAAACACAAACTAAATTTAAAGGAAAATAACATTCATTTCACAATAGTTTATCGTTTTATCATTTATCTTTCATCAATATGTAAATATAATATCGGAACACCATTTCATTACAAGTTTGGTCGATCAAATGAAACATTCAAATTTGTAAATTTCGTGAAATTTTTGTTTCGTTTCCAGAAAATTGTGAAAAATCGTGTCCTTTGTTAAGGTATATATAAGGGGGAAAAGTAGTTTATAAAGAAGAGATTAAAGGATCGATTATTGGTCACCCGAGATTTTTTTTTTTTTTTTTTTTTTTTTATGTTGAAATGTGCAATTAATAATACATCCATCACGAACGAATCTTATTCTACTATTCATTCATAAATAACTTTGAGAAATTTCGGAAATCTTTAGTCAATTTCACCAATTTGGGAACCCTGATTTTGGCATATCTTGGTTTAGATTTCTTTTCAATGTGCTTTTAACCATAATAATTAGAGTTATCGTCCTTGTCACATTTTCAACTATTACCTCCATCGCTGGGAAGCTCGTGTTTTCTTGAATGTTCAATCATTGTTATCTATTCATACTCATCAATTTTTATTGTTGCCCTTAGTGTGAGAGTACACAAACCTATCGATTATGTATGTAATTCTAATCCCATCCAACATATCTCTACCTCAAGCAATGTGTAGCTAAAACCTGTTGTTTTCACATTGTGCCTAATTACTTCAACCTGTGATATATAATGCATGGTGGTTAATTCGCCAAACAATGCTCTATTACTTGCGGAGGACGATTTAGAGGTCACCTATGTACAACATGCTTTCCGTTGGCTCTTGCCTTTCCGTGAATCCGATACACTACAAACAGTATCTCCTATTGGATGATCAGATTAATTGGAGCCTCGGTCCATCCACGAGTTTTAAGTGTCAGGATATTTCCAGTAGCCATTCCAAACAGTACACTAAGTTGCCAGTGCTGGCAGACAACTCATTGAAGCTAGACCCCTAAGAGGTTGGGCTTAGCTGTGACGTCCATGTATATGATAAAGAAAATAACAAACAATGGACACCCTGAACAAGTACACGGATAGTATGACCATACATTGATAGCATTGGCCATGTTAATCTTGGTCAATCTTAGCAACTAATGTCTTATTCCAAAATGAGAACAAGGTACACAATGGAACCATGAAACATACGAAGGAGCACCAAACACATCCAACTGTTATTGCTAACTGTTACTTGTCATCAGCTTCCACCAAAATCCCAATACCGAGAACAAGCTGTTGAATATACAACTGCGACATGTAAAACCCAGTTTAGGAAAGCAGGAATGTTGATAACAGAATTGGAAAAATCACAAAAGGAAAAGTGAAACCATCACGTTAAGCATACAGGTTAATGAAGAGCTGTCACTCTTTGTTTCCTTTTAGGAAAACATCAAGGCTAACGGTCAATGTTGAATCAAATGGGTATATAGGATGAACATGCTTTATACATTTCTTGTTATTAAAAAAGACATTATCTATACATCTAAAAAGTATTTGATAAATTCTCTTTTTATGAAAAAAGAAAAGGAAGGTGCACTCATTGTTCCTACGGGTATGCAACCAAAATTATATTTTAACCGCCTCAAAAATAGTACAAAAGACACACAAGTGAATAACACTTTTTAACAAAATTCAGAGTTAGATACAGTTAAGCCAAACAATGACTTGAACTACATCATACAGCTGTTTCGTCCTTGTAGGACTCATCAGTGATGCTAAGGATAAAGATTTGGAAGGCTAGGAGGTGAATGTAAAAAATTCAAAGTGATCTAAAGAAAAGTAAAAAAAGTAGATCGGCAGGTCGGTAGCCCCATTATTAAATAGACTCTATATTTTTGTCATTTATCAAATATACATTTAACAACTGGCCCAACGAGTAAACAAACGAGCATGTCTAGCTACATATATTACAAAGAAACAGAATAATTCCCAATTACATTACATTGACGACCGTAAAACTTTCCCGTAATTTTCATCAACCTGCATTTAGAACATCGAAGAAAGATAAAAATTGATAGATAAGATGATGTCTTTTTTTTTTTTTTTTTTTTTGGTAAAACCTGCGACGATGTGAATAAATTTACTTTATTGTCCCAGACATAGGTCCCCGGAGGTTATACGGCTAAATTTTCAACTACTTGCCGCAGTCACAGATATGGAGATCGTCATCATTCAAGTCAGGAAAGATAAGCTCATTAGACATTTTGGTCAAATTTTCTGTCTGTATCAATTTGTGAGGATAGGATTTACATGTAAGTTTTAGGCGACCATACTGTATTAGGTTGTTGAAGCCGTAGAAACTCTCCCGTTTCATTACATTTAGCACAAAGTAGCAACTAAAATATAAGATTATCTTTCTGATCGTGATCATCGGATATAACTAATTCAAATGTCCACTAGCGTACCTAGGAAATATATATAAAGTCTAGTTCACCCATAGTCGCTATTATACGCTCGAATACGCCATCTTTTTCACTGTCCAGTCGGAATAAGCCTTAACCAAGCTAATAAACTGAAACAAAGTTTTAAGAATGCATGCAACGTATATCCCTGTATAGATCTTTTAAAATCTAGAGCTTATGCATCCGGTTACATGTCAACCTGATTAAAACGCTGATCACCTTTTTCACGCCTTAGTGGAGAGTTACGGAGAATTACGGAGAGTTACGAAAAGTTACGGAGAATTAGGATGTGATGTTGATTGTTCTACATAATGTGACGAAATGACTCGCGGTAGATGAAATCGTCAATAATACCATTCGCCTTGTCCGAGATAAAAAGGATGAAAAGATCACGAGAATATGACTCTAAGTGTTATTGTCAGATCATACATACATATATGCGGAGAACTAGGATCAGCATTTTAATAATCTTAAATCACTTTTAGCATCATGGCCTTATGAAGACATTGCATCTAGGTAAATAATATATTTTTAAATCAAAAGAGAAATCAAAGCTGACACTTTGTAGTAATGTTGTTTTTTTTTATGTGGAGGGGGTCGGGATTTAGTATATGATAATGACTTAATATTTA